CCCCAAAACCCCAAAACCCCAAAACCCCAAATTTCAATTTTTTATCGGATTCTTTTTGAATTGTTAAATAATTATTATCATTCCTAATATTTCTCCTCTTCATATTGATCTTCATCTCTTCCCTCTTTTTTGATATAGTGACCTTTATTCTGACCCTTATAGCAGCAGTAGTTGTCCCACCCACCAGTTCTACCATCATTATAATTCCTTAAGAGTAATGCATTAGTAGCTACATCTTTATTTTTGGTGTTGGAGATGTCAGTGACTCTGTGGAACTCCTTAGCTATTGTTCTTTGAATAATCAGATCTTGTTCATTTTGTTGAAGCTTTGCTGTATGCTCGAAGTGAAGCTTATCGTAGTGGTCTTCCTTTACAGTTCTTTGATTCTTAGCCATGTGTAAACTGATTGGAAGTATTCTAGACAAAGAGAAATATGGATTCTTTATATCGTTGCGATCAACTTTCTCATTCTTGTTTAAGAGATTGGGATTCTTAAACTTTTCTATTGGCTTTTTGGTAATCTTGGAGACCCAATAGTTAATTCTTAGTCTTCTATCTTCTAGGATCATCTTCTGAAGGTCTTCAAAGTCATATCTTTCATAGTAATCAGTGTCTAAGTCAATTAAAAGCTCTCTAATGTGTTCATCTTTATACATGATTTCATCTGGTTCTTTTAGATCAATGGTTTCAATGATCATTTTAGCAGTAGAGCCTTTTTCAACTATTAGAAGCTGTAGAAGATCATTCTTATTGATTTCAGCAATCAACTCATTTATTTCAATGTCTGACATTACGTGCTGACCTTCTCTTCCACAAGTTAAGTGAACAAATCCATCGCAGTGGGTCTTACACTTCTGACACAAAGAACTATAGATTATATTGATATCAGCCTCCTTTAAAAGTCTCTAAGGTCCAGGTTGTAACTTCTTGCTCTAAGTTGACTTAGTACCTGTTTTTCCTAATGACACACTCTTTGTTTCGATTTCAGCAGTCATTCCGAGTCTCTTTCTCTCATTAGCCTACTTTTCTCTTATTGCTTCTTCTAATTAAGCCTTTGCAGACTTGACACAATTTCTGCAGAAGCAGCTATCAACAGAATGATAGCATACTATAGGGCCATATAGTGCTAGAAGGTCTAATCTTCCAGTTGTGTTTGAGTGTTCAAGATTAGGTGGAAACAAGAATTTCATGATACTATTGATGGTGATTTTGGTTTTAATGAATTAGAAATCGGGTGGTTTCTCAGGCACAGGGAAGAGGAACACGTCTCTCTCCTTATTAGCAGCCTTGGGATCGTCTGAGCCATGGAAAGCATTCTTAATGATGTCAACTCCATACTTTCCTCTTAAAGAATTAGGATCTTTTACTTTGGCCTCTGATGGTTCCTTATCACCAATGAGCTTCTTCCATCTTACTATAGGGCTCTCCAACTTAACATCTTCCTCTTTAGACTCATCGTAGACTGATTCAACTTTGTTTACCAAAATGAAGACTAAAGACTCTGCTGAAAGAAGATGTTCTGAAATAGCCTCATAGAATGTGGCGTTACGATAAGGGTAGAACAAATTTAAAATCTCCTCTCTAGTTAAGATTTTTCTCTTTGAATGAAATACTTCAAAGTTATTCTTATCTAGAATTTGCATTATTTCATCAACCTAAATTTTGTTAGTTCTTCATTTGACTTACCTTATCCTCCTTTAGAGCTATATGAGGCTTGATAACTCCAACGGTGTAGGGTATTGGAATTAACTTGGATTTCATATTTTTCTTAATTAAAATACTATAATCTGCTATTTTTATCTCGATCATTATAGCTCGGGGTTTTGGGGTTTTGGGGAGATCGGAAGAGCGTCGTGTAGGG